CTCTAAGGAGAAAGGTTCATTTTTGCACTAATCCCCTTGTTTTCTTCGTCCGCTTTACAGCATTATTTCCCATTAACTATAAAACACATTCTAAAATTATAGTAAAATGAAAGTACAGTACTTTACTCTTACAGCTTCAATAATGACTTTAAAGAGGGAGTTATTTGGAGATTCAAAGCATTGATTATTTAACTTCCTAAGATACAGAAGTATTTGGATGCTTGAAAATTGAACGCTTGAAACTAATGCATTTGATTCACAGACCAAACATTCAAGAAGAATCAGACTATGAAAAAAATTGCAAATTGTGGTCACTGGTCTGAATGGAAATAGGCTGACATACTAGTAAAAGCACAAGAACTATTTCTTTTTCAATTCATGTCATGTGAGCAAAACACATAAAAGCACAGCAAAACCAAAATACAATCAACCTGAATCATGAAAAATGATAAAATTTATGGCTAAATTCTTGAAACCTGGCAACAGTAACCTTCCATACTCTTTATTTGTAAGATGACTTACAGTGTATTTCAGTATTACATCTGTTGTTATTATTGATCAGTATTTTGTTTGGAGATTTATATTTCTGACCAATTTATAATGGTTTTAAATACAATTATTGGTTGTAGGCACAAAAATAGGTAGGTGCTTAAGTATCCAGTTACACATATCATTTGTGAAATAGGCAAATAATTATGGGAAAGAATGTACAGGTTAAGCAGGGGAATAAAGCACACTGACATACAGACAAATATGCAGGTAATTACCAGATTGCAGCCCTTCCCTGAGAAATGCACTTCTTATATGCAACTTCATTAATTCCCCCTTGCTACTATATATATATATATAACTTGAAGTATAAATATCTAATAATGTGATTTTTATAGCATACATGTTTGCAACTTCAGTAATGCTACTCAGTACTTTCAAGATGTTGTGAAATTAAGTAGAAACTGCTTATTTAAAACTTTTCAGTAGAACAAGTTGATGGTCTGCAATTCTGGTACTTGTATCTGTCCTCCTGATCCAGCTTAGCATTTCAACATCAAAAATAAATAAAAATGTTAATTGCTTCATGTAATCCAACGAAGATGTACATGGCTATCAGTAAGACCATTCTAAAAAATATCTACAAGTACCCTGGATGTATAGGCAAAGGACTCTTAGTGATTTTCAACAGAAAAACTAAAACCGCACAAATCATTTTTTAAAATGCTGGAAAGATTAATAAATAGCTAGTAAATAAAGATTCATAGAGGAATATATTATATATAAACCTACAGTTTGATTATTAATAGAAAAGAGCATGATACAAGCTGTAATTCCTGTTAAAAAGAATTGTCATCATGTCACTGAAAGCAATATTACAGGCTGCCTAGGAAGTAGCATAATAAAACTTTCTGTAATAACCTTCTATTTATGTCCATAAAATTGAAGAATGGTAAATCTCTGGTTATTTTATTTTTAATACAGAGATGAATTTTAACAAAGTAATTTATAAAAGGTTACACCAATGTCTAGATTTCAATCAAAGGAATTAATATCCACACTACTACAGTTCACACAAAGACATTCTTGCAACACATTTCAATAGCTGATGAGGCTAAAGGTCAACACTCACAATATCTGTTTGGAATTAAATGAAAGAATATGCCAAAGTTTAAAAGTTTAGTTGGCTATCAGAATGAAGTTCAACAGCTATGCCTCAGTTCTTCAAACTAGCTGGGCTTTTTTTTTCTGTCCAAATTACTACTTAGAATAAATACTTGAGTAATCTTGAAAAGCTCCTTATCTTCATCCTTATTCACTGTTCATTGATATATACTCAAGAATTCTTGCAGACCAGTAAACAGTTACTTAAAACAAGTATAAGTAACCAACTCAGGTAGTACATGAACGTAGCTGTGCCTAGTCAAAGATGACTTCTTTTCCAAGCAGGTGAGACAAGCCTAGCTGAAATTCTGGTTGTAGTAAGGTGTTCATCAATCAGAAGCCCTTCCCGCTCATTTTTCCTGAAGTAAACTACTACAGTTTTTATAGTAAAAGTACTCTAGCAACTTGCTTCAGAAACACATTACTTCTTTCTGTTACAAGATCTGTATTGATGTTTTTTCAGATTTGCACTGGTCCATGAGACGGCAGAGGAAAAGGCTGCCACTTCTCTGCAGCTGCTCTGGCAACTAATGGGTAAAAGTGGGTACTGACTCCTGGGGCAGCTGGAAATTTAAGCACTTGGTACACTGTCACACTGTTTGGGGACAAATTGACCATTTTCTTGAGGAGCTCCTATATCACCAAGGATCTGATTACCCAGCCTAGTATAAGAAGCAGTGTAATTACTTACTTTTTTTTATATCTCTGCTAGTGGGTTGGACAAATTGTTATTTAAACCTAACAGGCTTTCCTGCAGCTAGGGAAAAAAAAAAAAAGTAAAAGCACAAAAAGCAGTATATATCCCCTCATTTTCTTTCCAATCTCAGTATGCCTTTCTCTGATATTTATTATCTCTCTGGCACTTCACATACACAGTGTTATATATTAATTTAATGAGTCATGCAATGCTTCCCTAAGACTAGAACATATCCAAAGGTGGGGAAGGTGGCAGTGGGGATAGTGAAGTCAGATTTTTCAATTACACTTCAGAGAGAAGCTTTCATTCAGCTCCCATTTTTTTCACTTGAGAAGAAATTCTACAGGTTCAGAAAAGCCTGTCAAATACATGAAGTGTCTCTGCAGTTTCCTGAATCTGCATAAGCCTAAGACAGACTCTTGCAAGAACAATTTCATTTTTTTCCCTCCTGAATGAGTAGAAAGGCTGGCATTGGTGACACTTTTAACTGCAAACGGGTAACTGTATCTCTGTCAAAAACATCTTTTAGAAGATAAGAAGTAGAGCAAAAGTTTCCCTCTCAGAATTTCAAGTAGAGGGGGTGAAAAATAGTGGCAGAATTAATGAAAATACAGCGATCCAAGATATACCAGCATGTAACACTGCAACAGTGCATTGAAGGAGAGGTAGTGCAGTGTTAGCGTCACATGTATTACAACAGAGCTCAGCTTCCAAACGTATACATATTACTTTTAATGCCATAAATAATTGCAGAGTAACTGGTCTTTCTACACGAGATTTGCAAAAGAAAACAAGGAAAAAAAATTGAGGCACACAGAGAAGGAGTAACTTGCTGAGGAACATGAAAAATGCACCTCAGATTTAGGATTAGGACAAGAAACAGAAAGTGTAGCTTCTAGGCTTGAATCATCAAGCTATACAGACGAGAGGACCAAAACGCAGAAAAGCAATGAACACCTTCCTGTCCATCAGTGAACACGACAGCCCCGCGCAACATCACTTTCCGAGACAAGACTAGACTATTCCTCCCAAGTCCATTCACAACCGCGCCGGTTCTGGATGCTCAACAAGCCTTAAAGCACTCGCACATGTCAGAGTTTACCCAAAGACGAGCTGGGTTGTTCGATTTTTTTTTGCCCTGAACCGCGCAGTTAGCAGGGAGATGCCGACAGCCGCGGCCTCCATCACCGGCCCCGGCAAGCCCGCCGGCCCGCCCCGCATCCCGCCGGCTGCGCGGCCGCGGCAGGTGCCGGCGGCCCGGCGGAGCCCCGGCCCGCTCCGGCCGCCCGGGGCCACAGGCTGGGTGCAAACCAGCGGCCCGACACACTCCCGGAGACGGCCGCCGGCAGGGGAAGCGGGGAAGGAGGAAAGCACGCCTCCAGGGAAATAAAGTTTTCAAGCGAAGAGGGCAGCGCTCGGAGCGCCGCGCAGCCCCGCCAGCGCCCGCCGAGACAGCAGCGACTTCGTGAGAAACGAGGGACGGGGAACGGGCGGCCGTGACCCGGGCGCCGGCCGGGCTCGCCCGCTACTCACCATGTTGACTTCGGAAACCATGTCGATGCTGGCGATGTCGATGTTCATCCCCACGCAGACGGGCGGACCTGCAAGCAGCAAGCAGAGCAGACCTTTACCCGGCGGCGAGAGGTGCCGCGGCAGCGCGGGCGCGGTGGCCGGACCCGCCGTGCGGTGACGGCTGCGGGAGAGGGGGAGATCGCCGGGCGGCAAGCCCGGGCAGGGCGACTCACCTCCGAAATCCGGCCGGAGGCGGATGTCGTAGCCCTTCAACAATTTATCCACAGTTTCTTTCACGAAGGACATGTTGCCGGGATCGTTCACACTGTGGGGAGAAAGAGACGGGGGTGTCGGGCGGGAGAGGCAGAAGCCGGGGTGCGGGGAGCCGGGGGCGACGGCGGGCGCGGGGCGGGAGGGGGAGGGCGGGGGAGCGCATCAGCTTGTTCCCCTGGAGAAACGCATCCCGCGCCGCCGCCGCCGGGGCACGCTGGCTCCTACCTCTGGGCGCAGCAGACCACGGCCACCAGGACGGGAGCAGAGAAGATCCCGAAGATCCTGCCTCCCCCAAAGCCCCACATCCCTCCGCTCCGCGCTCCCTTCGCGCAGCAGCAGCAGCAGCCGCCGCCGCGATCCGGCTGCCCCGGCTGCCGCTGAGGAAGAGGCGGAGGCGACAGTCCCCGTTCTCCCCCTACCTCGCCCTCCCCCCAAAATAATCCCCCACCCCCTGCCCCAGCAGCACCACCCGGCCCGCGGGAGCCGCCCGCGCACCCGGCCGCGCTCGCCCCGCGGCCGGACGCCGCCGAGCCCCGGAGGAAGCTGCCCTCCGCCGGAGCCCGGCCAGCCGCCTCCCTCCGCCCGCCGCCGCCCGCCCTGCCGCCTTCCCGCCAGCCGGGAGGGGAGGGGACGGAGGGAGGGCGCCGCCGTCCCTCCGGGCGGAGAGCCCGAGGTGGGGCGGCGGGGGAGCGAGGTTGGCGTGGCCGGGACCGGCAGCGAGGGGCGGCGGCTCCGCGGGCACCGCCTCGGGGCACGCCCGACCTCTGCACGGCACCGGCCCCCGGGAACCGCCCGGAGTCGGCGATGGTCACGGACAGCCGCCGCGGGGTCTCCCCGCAGCCGGCTCCATCTCCCTGGGGTAGGAGCGGGACTGCGGGGCTAGGGCAGCCTGCAGGGTCCCGTCTGGAGCCGGGTGAGAAGGGGCTGCCCGACCCATGCTTCTGTCCGCCCCTGACCCTCGGCCTGCCGCTCTGTTTTGGGGGACTGTGCCCACCTGCCCTGTGGCACATCGTGGGAGCGATGCTCGGGGTGAGCCGCTGGGGCGGGAGAAGGAGATGGCCTGGGAGCCCTGCCTGGACTTGCCAGGGCCTGAAGCTGTCTCTGCCACGGCCAGGGATGTTGTGTGCATGTACAGGTGCCGGGCCTGAGGTTCCCTTTAGCCAACTGCACTGACCGACATGGACATGCTTTGCTAGGCAGAAGCTCTGCTGGGTTCAAAACGTGTGTAGCCAGGCTTGTCATACGGGACAGTAACAAAGGGAAATGGTACTGGTACCAGAGATGTAGGGTGAGAGTTTGTTGCCTGCGAGCTTCTGGATACTCTCAACTTTGTATAAAACACTGGTTGGATGAAGACAGCACTGTTCTTATTCTTTTTAATCTTCTCTCATACTAATTAGTCCTTTCAGCAGGACTTATTGGCGTGGAAACAGAAGAATGTCCACTTAGGTATGTTGGCTTTGGTTGCAGAGGCAGCTCCTCACCACCGGAGCTCTTCACCATGCTCTATGAAAGTACAGACGTGCCCTTGGCCAGCTTCTGATTCTGGTTACATGGCAGTCAATGGCCACTGGTCCATTACAAAGCACAACATTTCAGTAGCCAAGGGAGAAAAGCTTTGTCTTTCTTTTGCATTTTTAACACCTCTTTTTCCTTCCACACATTATCTTCCCTTATAGAAACTACTGTGAAAAGGAGGGATATTGAGTAATGCTGTGATGTTATGTACAGGTGAGAAAACATGGACAGCTTTTCTTCTCTCCTCAGCAAATTATTGAAAAGAAAGACAAGTGCAATTCATTGTCCTGACCTTGTTGCTGTTACAGTTAATAATAGAGATCCAAATAAAAGAAGGAGCAGGCTCAGTTTTAAAAAAATTATCAAGCTCTGTAGGTAATGCCAAAAAATGTAAGAGAAAATGAGTGTTGCCAAACCTTGTGATTTCATGTTAATATTTGCATTTTTAATAGTGCCACAATTACCATGCTTATAAAGTAAGTTAAAATCTTAGCATTTATTTAAAAACCTTATTAGGCTTATGATGAAAGCTTGAGAATTGTGGCATGAAGCATACATGACTCAAGGGCTCAAAAATGAAAAGTCAAATAATACGTAACTATGTAAGTAATTTTAAGGCTCTGGGTTCTGATAGTTATTTTTTTTGTTAAATGCTATAGATGGGTGATATTGAAGACCAGTTCTTTTAAAGACTTCAGAAGGAGCGAATGTAGGAAAGGGTACTAATTCAATTCTGTCCCCCTAAATTTTGAAAGAAAGTATTAACACCAAAGAAAATATTTCTTATGAAGAGTTTAACGTGGTTTAAAAGCACATTTAAACACTAATAACTTTTCTTAAATAGATTGTCAGTTTTATAACAGAAATAAAAAAAGTTAGAGAGCACTATTTCTGATTAATGTGGTATCCTGGTACTTTGGAAGCACATCTGAGGTAGGAATGAATCAATGGTGCTGTAGAGTCTGTCATATTTTATCACACTTCATTTAAGTATTTGTCTTCTTGATCTTACAGAGCAACCATTTACTTGGGAACAGCATAAAGATAACCTAGGCTGGAACTGATGGAACATGGTATTTAGTGGGTTATAGACCATTTGTTCCTTGGGACTCTGCGTTCAATTAGGCTTAGCAGTAACCAAAAGATGTTAAAAACTATAAACAATCAATGAATTTCATGAAAGGTAAAAATCAACTCGACTTCTCTGTGACATGGCACTTGCAGTGAAAGTAGCACTGTGGATTTTTTCTGCAGGAAAGGCTCATAAATAAGTCTCTGATGCAATGAACTGGAGGTAAGACCCAGCAGAGACCTGCACCTGGCACAGTGTTAAAGGAAATAGTGGAAGCCCAGACTTTTGGGAGGCTATTTTATGTGGCCAATAAGGAAAAAATGGGCACAGAAATAGACTCCTTGTCCTGGCCCACAATTCAACATCCTGACTTTGCTTCAATAGGCAGGCAGGTTATTTCAAGGCATGGCTGGAAGGAATCTGGGCACTTATATTCACTAAAGCAAAACAAAGCATCCAGTCACAACCTGTAGATTGTTCATCCAAGAAAATCCCAAGGGTGTGTCTCCTGAGATAAACCCAGACTCCAGGATCTCGGTAAACTTTTTTTTTTTTTTAAATGTTCCACTTTTCAGCAAATAGTTAAGTAGGGGAGAGGGAAAGAGTTAACATTACTCTGTGGCCTAGTGGTTTGGCTGTTGCCTGGAAAGTACTGTTATTTCATAAATAATCCAGCAATTCATGAATAATTACTGGATAAAATAAATCAGTGTTTGGTGGTATAAGGAACAGAACCCAATTCTCTCCTGCTTTTAGGTGCCTTCATCACTGTCCATTCTCTCTCCTTGATTTTTTTTTTTCAATGTGCAGTCTTATTATCCCAGTAAAACTATCCCTGTAAAATATGAGACTTTGAACATTGTAGTTACAGGATTAAAATTCATCACATTTTATGTTACTTTGGTGAGTGTTCCAGCCTCTGGGCCACTGGACAGTTAAGATCTATACTCCTGATCAAATTTTGCTCAATGAGGTAAGCACAGCACTTGTTCTTTACTTCCTCAGCATTGCCAATATTGTAAAGGCCATTTCAACAATGGATAAGTCTGAACTGCAAAAGCAAGCATTATGTGTGAAGGAGCAAAAGTCTTTGGGGGAAACTGGATTATAATGGATTCATCAACTAAATCTGGATTAGCAGGTACAGGGGCTGGTCTCTAAAGCAAAACTTGTTGCTGAGGGTCTCATATCCATGCCATACACATTTGTTGTTTTGAGTTTGATTTTTTTTTTTTAACCCCATTAGGAAAAGGGGAAATCTGGACCACTGGACTGAATGCTCATTAGCAGTTAGACCAATGTGCTACTGGGGTGCATTTTTCAATTTAGCTTGAAGGGAGTCATGTTCTTGTACTCCGAGACTGCTCTGAGATGTGAAACAAAGCACAGTAAGTGGGAATGATCAAATGATTCACTTTGCAAGCACAGTCCTGGTTTGCAGTAAAATGGTATGTAGATGCATCCATCATCTCATTTCAGAAGGAGCTGGAACAGAGCACACTCACCCCTTGTCAAAGGACAGAAATGGTTGAAGGCAGTGGGATTGGAATGAGAAGTGACTCAAAATTTTGGAACAAATTCCAGTTTCCTTCATCATTGTCAGTACTAATGGAGATACAGCAGAGGAGGCAATGACAGGAAGGCTAGAGAAGAGGAGAGGTCTGCTCACAACTGATGCATTTGCAGTACTACCACTATCAGTCACGAGCAGCAGGAGAAAGCCTGGCTTGGGAATCAGGGAAGAAGTATTTGATCACACCATGCAATACATCACTGAACTCCTGCACTGGAAAGTGGTGCTAGGAGTTTCCATGACAAAATTAACTTAACTCCACTTACAGACTGAGGTCAGAAACACTTATCAGATATTTTCTTTTTCATTTTCCTTTCTGGCTTGTCTGTCATTTAACTGATTTTGACAAAGATCCAGTCTTATCCTGAAGCAAACTGCAATCACAAAGGGTTCAGAGATACAAAAGTGAGAGAGGCTGAAACTAAAGTAAGTGGGAAGAATTGCTGTTATGGCTGAAATGTTGTCTTCTGAGGAACAAAGGACATTAATCTTACTAGGCTGAGACCTATGCTGCTGCTTACCTACTCTGTCTCGCAGCAATTTTAATACCCTGCTGGTTTAACCTGCTGAGAATGTGTAATTAATAAAACTGGCTGGGAAAAAGTACACAGGAAAAATTTCAACTTTCTTTTCTTTTTTTCTAAATCTGACTTCTTTTTCACTTTATGAAATCAAAAACTGAGGATATTTTTTGTCAAAATACCATACAACAGAAAATTAGCATTTCCTGCAGAAAGCTCAACTTTCTTATTTTCTGCCCTACTGTATCTCAGCAGAAGCAGAGCTTTAGAGTGACAGGCAGATGCTAGGAAGCATTAGGGCTTACTCTGTACTTTTGCAGTTTTTTTACACTGTTTTGCTTGTTTACATAATGAGGAGTGGTTGTTGAACATGCTATGTGAGGAGAACAAGATTATGTTTATTTACTATATATATTTATCATAAATTGTATATTGGCTGATGTTGGGTAATACTCAACATTTTATTTAACTGATAGTGAGTTTATACTCATTGTCCCCATTTCTGTCAGATAGATTGAAAGCAGCATTGCATGAATCCATTTGCTTTGGTTGCATAATTTTCTGGTTTACATTTAATTATAGAGAAATATTAATGGTGTTATGTCAACAATTCTGATGTAGTGGAGATCTGAATGTTTCAGTGAGCCACATAAAGAATAAGTTATTAATTCATAGGACTAATGGGGAAAATTTGCCTTTAATAAGAGGCTTGACCCAAATTGTTTTGAACAGCTGTTTAAATTTCAGATGGGTATTTTTATTTCATATTCAAGAACATGGAACAAAAATTTGAATTATCTGAATGAATTTTAAAAAGTATTCCTGCAAAATTCCATTCCTTATGCGACAAAACCTCTGGATTATGCACATAGTGAGTCAGACACGTCAAAATAAAAATCCATTGACACTGGCAGAGGAAGAAATAATCGTGGCTCTTTATAACTCACATTTTTTCATCATAAAGATTAATGATTATGCACTGAAATAACACAAATACATTAGAGAGGCCTGTGGTGCATTAGAAATACTATTCTTTTAAGTCTCTATCTGGATGAAAATAGAGTCTTTTGAGAAAAACAGACAAGTAATTGAATTATGACTTTTCTTTTTTTTACTGTTACTGCAGTTGAGGAAGTGCTATTCTATATAGGACTTCTTTGTTAAGTTTCAACTCGAGTAGATTCATCTAAATCCCTTTGTCAGGAGCACATTTTTCTTAACAAAACGGTATGCAGCAGTTACCTTTTTTCTATAAGGCTATATCAGAAGGATATAGTCCATATATTTATGTTTTCCTATGTATCAATGCCTTTATGAACCTTATCTGTGATAATTACTGGTTATGCAATTTTTTACTAACAGCAGCCAGAATTCCAAGTTAAGATCCCAGCTGCCTTTTGCAGAAGATTATACAGAGTGAAGAAGACAAGCATGAGTTGTTTGAATTGCTTATATTTAATACTATGTATATTTAAAGGAAGATCAAGGCAGGATCCTAACTGATGCATCTTTATTAGGACTAGCTAAAACACCAAGATATTGGTTCCTAGCATTTTCATCCAAATGTCCCTTTGAATTTTAACAGAGGAAAAGAGGAAAGACAAGGAAAAAAAAGACCAAGGGGAGGGAAGTGCCAACACTTCTACATAAAACAGGATAAGCAATGAGAAGGAAATGAAGTGAAATTTTTTCATTTGCTAGGCACAGTTGTGGAAGTGAAAATCCAGGGAAACAAAGAAAGAGCTATGGGTAGAATAAGGTGAAAACCTGATGTATGTCTTGCTCTTATCCTTTGAGAAGGACACAAATCCTTTTTTGCTTATGCTGAGGAGTGCCCTTAACAGGAACCACTCCATGAAGGATGAGGGGAAAGCAAAGGCTTCAGAATGAGGAGCTGTGTCCATGTGGAGGCTGCATCCACAGCCTTCCACTGCCAAGGTGCAGCGCTCTGCTGGTCTCTCTAAATGTATCCTCTTTTCCCAAGGCTGTGCCAGCTAGCCCTTCGCTCTCATTCCCCAAACACTGGCATCAGAAGCAGACACAGTTAAGCTCATAATACACAGATCAGGATCGTGGGCCATATTCCATCTGGGAAATAACGTGTAAATTAAGCTGGTTGTGTAACAGTATTTCTTTGTCATATGCAGTGTACACAGAGAGGGAAGTCACTATATTTTAGGGGAAATCATTATTAGGTATATATAGAATTGTGTGTCATGGGTTAAAATTTTTTCATTTTGCCTTAAAGATTACTTAGTGTCTCTGGAAAAAAATGTTAATAATAATTTTTTAACATTTTGAAGGATTTACATTTTATTACAGATAATAATCACATGCTTAAAGAACTTTTAGTAACTCACCTTGTGTCATAAATTGCATATAATTTTTTGTTTTCTTCAACTGCATTCCTAAAGAGAGAGAAAAAGAGCATATTAGTTGTATGCCTTGTGCCCATTGCCAAAAAACTCCCCTTGTTTATGGCTCTAAAGTTTTCAGGCCAGCATTGTAAAATCTAGAAGTGGGGGAAAAAAAAATAACTTATAAATTGACTTGTTCAACCCCTCACATGACAAGATTGTAATAATCCTTTGGAAATTGCCTAAGTGGGTTTTTAATTATAGATCCATGACTCTGTTGCCAAGAAATGAAAAAGAAAAAAATAGTAACTGCTTTTGTGAAAAACACAATGAAAAGATATGTTTTTGATAGAGCTATGTGAATAATTTTCAGCAATGCTTTCCAATTGATCCAGATGAACATTATCCAATTCAGTTATTTAATTATTTTTTTAAATAAATGAAACTAAACAAATACATTGAAATATAAAGCACTGTATTCAATGTGAGTAAATCATTTAACTCTGATATTTTGAATACTTTTAGGTATGATTAAACATTTAAATTCATATAAAAAAGGCATATTGAAAATTCAAAGCTGGAGTCTATATTTTTGAGCTTTTTTCAGTTGAAATCCATATGACTTTGCAAAACATACTTTGCATTCTTTAACTAGAAAAAAGAGGATTTTTTTTTTTTACTGAAATTTTTTTCTTGGACTTTTTCTGAACATGTGGGGGGAAAAGTGCTCTTCTGAAATAGTGGTAGTGATTTGAGGGAGAGCAAGAAATGTCTGAAATGTGTTGGCTTTGCTGGAATCAGCAGTAAAATATAAGTTTTAGCTAAGTAGTTTCTGAGAAGGTGTGATGAATCTAAGAGGCACTCCATAATAAGTATTGATTTGTATCTTACAATCTGATTTATGTCTCTGTGCATTACTTTACCTGTCTGCTTAGAGAAGTTAAAGAGAAGCAACTGAAAACACGGGGTAAATGATCCTGAGTTTGGATGCATTAAGCTTCACTTAACATGGGAAAGTTAGATGCTGGATTTGGTCCCTGTTCCTGGAGTGGTTATGCCTTTTACATTAAATGTGTGCTGGCTAAAGAACATTAACAGCTGAGTTTTGTGCATGCTCAACTCCCTTGTGCATTGGGTAAGGAGATGTGGGGCCTCTCTCATCTCTTTGGGTCTCCCTAAATAGCCAGCTGTGTAAAACACAGTGTGCACTGCTGGGCTGGGCTCAACTTGACTGCCAGCCTCTGGTCCATTTAAGGTGTGCTGAGGTACCTGAGACACTGCTGAGAGTTGCCAGTTACTACACAGGACCTACATAACACCCACACTCTACTGGAGAGTTCATTGGAGTTCCAGGGGGACAGCTTGGAGAATTCCAATGGCTCAGTATGCTTGTGTATTGGAACTGGGCTGAAACTCTCAGATCAGATTCCACCCAAGAGAGGGATCCCCAGCTTTCTACACAAAGGCTACATTAACTGAGTCAGATCTAACTGACTAGATCTCTGTTGACATAATGGGAACACCCAGGTCTTGTGTAGACACCTACACCTAATCTTCAGATTAATCCTACTCCAAATTTCACAATATCTTATGGTATTTTTATTGTTGTACCATCAAGATTCGCAAGCCACATTGCTCTGTATTTAAAGATAATAGCATTATATGCCTGCAATCACACATGGGCATGCTCTGTTGGGCTTTGATGGATATTCTCAAGTACAGTTTCATTTGCTCTCCACACTTCTTAGCTCTCAGTTCCCCCGTGACCCCACCGGGTAATTTCTTGAGCTCTGCAAAGGAGAGAGAAGGGGAGGAATTGCAGAGAATAGAATCTGAAACCTGAACACTCAGACAAATATATCTCCTGATTATAGTTAGGGTTCTCATATTGGTAGAGTCATATGGTCAATGCTGAGACAAGAAGATGGCTGAGCTCTTTTCTGAAGTGCTCATTGCAGCTTGCTGCAAGGTTCTGGAACATCCACTGCATTTGCAGAGGCTGGATCCAGAGAGTCAGGGGGCAAACTTAGCCTTCATCATCCTTTAGGACTATGCTCCCAAATACAGCCAGTGACACCTGGGAGACAGACACAGCTCAACTTGTTACCATGACAACTGGAATGGAACTTAACAGAAAATTAGCTATGGGTGGAAGTGGGCACCACTTCTAAATGAAAACTTAAGCGTATAGGTGGAATAAGTATCTGGCTTCCATGTCATTACCTAAATAGATCCATACCCATGAGATAAAAAGACATTTGAATACAATACAGTTTTCTTTAATTAGTAGATTTGTGAAAATTTTCAGAACTAGGCAAAACATCATGTATGGCCACTCTATGTTTACAACCTTTGACATCCATCATGCAAAATACCAATGGCAGGATCGAATTAGCTTCCTTATTGGTAGAGAGATGACAATAGCAAAAGGAGATCAGGAAAACAAACCATTAAGCAAATGTAACAGGAAAGAAAAAATGTAATATTTTAAGTGTTGAAGTTTCACAATCAGCTTTTATTCAGACTGATAATGCACTCCACTTTTTTCTTCTCTTGCAAAAAAAATGTAGACACATGTTAATGTAAAAATTCTCTTATTCAGCAGAGTGGTAAAATCATGTGGTCCCGGCATTGAAAAACGCCTTCTTCTGAATGAGGACTAAACGGAGTTCAGAAGTATCCTACCACAGCTCTGTCTGCCTGGCACCAATAGAAGACATACTTCTGAAAGTGTTATAAAAATAATTCCCCTGTCACAAAAGCAGCACATTAAAAGTACTTATATTAAAAGCACTTTGTTGTATATGAATATCATTATATAATTGATCATTCCCATTAAAATGCTTTGCCTCCTTATCACAACTTTAATAGAAGAACAAAACTGCTTTGAATATTATGCATGCACTTGCCTAGAGCCACTATTAAGCAGAGAGGCTCTGTGTGCAGCCAGGCAGTTGTTGATGGTAAATCAAATGGAGGGCATATGGTTTCAGTATGGCTGCTGGTGGTGTTTTTTGTTGCTAGAAAGATCTAGTGTTTTGCATTTAGGATTATTATTATATTTAATATATATTATATATAATATATATTTAATATATATTATATATTATTATTATTATTAACAGAAATTGTAGTTTATCTTTTCCTCTTTTTTTTTATCCAGCTCTCTTGAAGGCCATTCAATATAATACAGAAAAACATGCTTAGAACAACCCATGCTGGAATGTTAGGACTTCCCTAAACTTCAAACTTAGAGTGTTGTGTGTTTTTTAAAGACCACACAATTTCTGGATGATACCATGAGTCAGAATGCCTCTGGTTGGGATTCCTCCTTGCTGAAGTAAGCATCAGAGATTAAATGTGTAAGTCTGAGCCAGTTACCATGGACTACTTTAATAATCAGTGAAGACAGCAAATGCAAGTCCAAAGACTGAAAGAAACTCCAGAGGCTGAAATAGACTAAAATACTGTAAATGACTCACGCTCCAGAAGTACCTAATAACTATGAACATATAGCCCATAGCTAGCAAGGCATCTAACTTTTGGGTAGGTAGTCGCATAAGATATTGCCTAATATATATCCCATTCATGTGATTTAATGGGAATGAAGGCAAGATTTCTTTCAGTACATTGAGCATATTTCCTTACAAAAGTTTATTTGACCAAGATGTCTTTAGGTTGGAGTTCCATGAAGAATATCTCTTCTAATGTTAAGTGGACAGCAAAGAAGTAGAAAAGTTACTAAGTTAATACTTTATTTCTGGAATTGTTGGAGTCTTTTATCCAAGTGGAAGTAGAATTTTAAACAAGGATCATCCTTTTAAACAAGGATCATCCTTTAAACAAGGATCATCCTTCTGTTAAGGCTGCAATACAAAGCAGTGCTGGTGAATGAGAGGCTGGACATGACCCAGCAAAGTGCACTTGGAGCCCAGAAAGAAAATTGTACCCTGGGCTGCATCAAAAGCCAGCAGGGTGAGACCCCGCATGGAGTGCTGCATCCACCCCTGGGATCCCCAGAACAGGAAGGAGATGGAACTGTTGGAGCAAGTCCAGAGGAGGGGCACCAAGATGATTAAAGAGATGAAGCCCTTCTCCTATGAGGAAAGGCTGAGACAATTGGGTTTGTTCAGTCTGGGGAAGAGAAAGCTTTGGGATGACCTAATTGCAACCTTCCAGTACCTAAAGAGAACATATAAGGAAGATGGGAGGGACTTGGAAGAAGAGGTAGTTACCAGACAAAGAGAAGTGGATTCTAACTAAAACAGAGTTCATCTAGATTAGATATTAGAAAAAAAATTCAAACTATGACAGTGATGAGATACTAGAACAGGTTGTCGAGGGTGCCCCATCCCTGGAAGTGTTCAAGGCCAGGCTAGATGGGGATCTGAGAAACCTGGTCTAGTGGAAGGTGTCCCCACCCATGGCAAGGGGATTGGAGCTAAATGATCTCTAAGGTCCCTTCCAACCCAAACTATTCTATCATTTTACACTTCAATGCTAATGAGTCACAGGATGCTTAACAAGGACTCTTGACATTTTGTATGTAACAAAATGATTCAGTGTGAAAATAGATACAAAGGCTAATTTTATAGCTTGTAAGACAATGCTAACAGTAAGGAAGTGAGATATTTTAGCTTCAGATTTGAAAGCATCTGAACATGGAAGGCCACTACTGAGAGAAAAATACTTATTTTTTTCTTCTTTGAGAAGAATTCTCAGAGTGCATTTCACACAAGTTGTTTTCAAACAGGAAGAAAAACAAATGTGATGCTTAACTCCCTCTCCACTGGCTCGGGGAATGTTCACCTCATTATGTTTGAGCCTTATTCACTTTGAAATTAAGAAAAGAGAATTGTTGGTTGAGCCAGCATACACAATAGGGGCTGAGTGAAGCCCATTCTATATGGCTGTGGTGCAATAACTATTGGTTGCAACAACAAAGCCCAACTGTAAATTTTCCTCCCGAGAACAGCTGATTTTGGGCTTCTACATCAGGACTGTTCAACCCACTTTGCAAACTCTCCCTTCAGAAACTTCAGAAGCAATGAGGCACTTAAATCAATGAGTCAATAAAATTTACTTTTCCTAGGAGGTTCAACCCTTGCTAACCATGTTAGGTATGCAAGGGCATCACTGTCACATAGCGTGATAGGCACTAACTAATTATTTTTAGTACCTAGAAGCCTATCAAGAAAAGTAAGAAAGTACAGACTGAAATGTCAAATGCAAAAATGGGAATCTGTGTTTAAAACTCCCAGGATATTGTAGACACAGTTATTGAATTACCATTGTAGATCTGCTGAAACCTCAGTAAGCAGCAGACGATGGAGATTTTTGCTATAAATATGAGGTTCACATAGCTATCTCTTATTTTTTTAAAATATAAATTAAGTGGATGCAAGCCAAGTTTTCATAAATAATGCCAAAAATGTTTATGTATGAGCAGCTTAAACTATGTAGCTCTAGCTGAAATAAATGTTTCAGTGAACATGATTTTAAACATGATTTATTAAAATGTTATGTTAAGTAAGCATTCAATATGCTTTTATGTAATACTGATGCCCAAGTTACATGTAATTATGATGACATTATAGCATCCTTGATCTTTCATAACCTCTCTAGAAATTCATTTTTCCCAGCATCAAGCTCTTCAAATAGTATGGAAGTGACAATGTCACATAGTATAAACAGTTACCAGAACAATGCTCTTCAGTTCTACTTCTATAAGGGCAAGCCAGTCTTGACTCCTTTTGACATCAGCCAGAGATGGGAAGTTTAGTACTGCTCAGAAACATGCCAATGAATTAGCAAGTCCACAAACCTGTTTGTTGGCATTTCAGAGCAAGATAAGAAGGATGAAGTGAGACTATGTCAAGTTGTAGGCTCCTGTTTGCTCACATTTAATCACTGATATTTTTTCAGTGTGTCCATTTCTACATCAAATTCTGTAGTTCCTATAGAATTATTTTAGCCCACAGAATTTGTTTTCTCTTTTCTTTTAAGGCATTCTGTTTCCAAATATAAAACATAGGCATAGAGAAAGCCATGAAAATACACACAAGACCAGTGCATAAATTTTCCATTATCCTTGCACTGAAGATCTTAGTGTCACTGCAAATAGTTTAGTGAAGGTTCCAGCTCTATGCTCAGCAGAGCTCAAAAAGGTAAACAAGTGCTAAGAACAATGAGGGAATTAATAAAACAAAATAAGATCAGTACAGCATTGTAGCAGTCTGTTCTACACACACCCTTGGAGTTTCATGCTGTTCTCTTCCATCTCAAAGAGCTTGAGAGCTCAATAAATATACAGGAAAGAACTACAGGGATGATTGAAACTATGGGATGGAATTGGTAGGAAGAAAAAGATTTAGGCTGAGACACTTAAGTCTGGAAGGCAGCTGAGGGAGGAGAGAGATGATGGATGTGTATGAAATCATAGGCTGCCTAAATGATCATTTGCTATCACGCATATTATGAAAAACAGAGAAGCGCTCAGATGATCAAGCGATCATTTATTGTTTTAAAGCAAACAATATGAAGTCCTTTATCACACAATGCATAATTAAAATGTAGGGCTCATTGCCAGAGGAAGCTGTGGAGGTCAAAGATATAAATGGGCTCAAGAATCCATTAGACAAATGCATGAGAAGAAGCTCCATCAATAGATATTAAGATCAATGATGTGAATGCACCCTCTGCCTGAGAAAGTCCATAAACCTGACTGCTTGAAAGTTTATACCTGGGAAAGAATTGGGTTTTATCTGTGCTGTTTTGTATGTCTTTCCCAAAGTACTACTACTGCCCATTGTCAGGTGACAGCAAACTGACACAATGTTGGCTTGATTCACTCTGGGAACAATTATCTTCAGTGCAATCAGAAATACATGTTCTGGCTTACCGTGAGCCAGCAGTTAAATAAATTTCACACCTTAAAATTTCTGTTGTTTCCATTACTACACTCTCCACTGGTCCAAATAAGCCACTGATTTTACTCTTCTTACATCAGAAATTCATTCAGTTGCATATTTTTGATTTCTATACTTTGATCCTCTGAAGCACTCACTTAAAGCCCAGGGTGATAAAAAGTTTGCTACTGTCCTTCTAAACCTCCTGAGGTATTAGAGGGCTGTTGTAAAGCATGCATTTACTCAGAAAGAAAAATTTCAGATGCAGCTAGTGCTCATAAAAACCTCTAGAAATAAACCTCTTTACATTTAACAGACCAGAATATACATTCAATAAGCATATCCATATTATAAAAGACGTGATGTATTTTGAATTTTAAGGTGTGTTGGTGGGCATGTAAATTTTGGTGGTAGAAGCATTTATGATTTTAAAAAAGCCTACTCTCTCAAAGTCTTCAATTCCTTAAAAGTGTTTCATTTTGGTTTTGGTTTTTTTGTTTAGTTTAGTTTTTTTTTTTTTCATTTTTTTTAATGAAAGTTAATACTCTGGTGAAAATAAAAATTGCTTCATTAAAGAATAGCTGATGCCACCCTTGAAAGCCTCATGACTGTGAAGGGCAGTTCCCCACAGAGGAATTGAGTTTTCCATGCAAAGTACACAGAGGCAGAAGAGAGCCCCGAGTTCTTAATCAGGCATCCTAGTGGACATTGTGCATGTTTTCCAATGACCCATATTACAAAATAAAGAAGTTACCTTGGCCCAACATCATCACAGTTTGGACTGAAAGCAGATGTTGCTAACATGCTCTGTGATGAACTCAGAGCTGTTGTGCAATAGCCATGCCAATGAGCATATCAGTTTGACAGGGCCCATTAGATACTCCT